GCCTGAGTGCAGGTTTCTGGGATGGTCTGTACTTGACTGTGCTGGGGGAAGGTCTTTTGCTCCACCCCTTGGGTCTCTATAAATACCCTGAGGCAGAGACAATCAGGGCTCGTTGGAATAGGTTCCATGCCCTCTGAGGCTATCCTTTATTTTCTATCTGTTTATCTCCACAATCTAAATCCTTCTATGTAATATTTCCTGCTGTTTGCACTCAAGAAAACTCTGGGGAACTATGGGGTTGGTGGGTAAACACCCCACAGGGAGTGAGAAAGAAAAACACCTAATTTCGACCACTGACACATATGGGCACATGCATCTGCACACACACACATGCATATTCACATACAGAGAGAAACACTGCTAAAGATGATAGTCATCCCAACACAAAATCACTAATCAAGCAGCTGGCCAGATGTGGTATGCACGCCTTTAATCCCAGCACTCAACAGGCAGAGGCAGGTAGATCTCTGGGAGTTTGAGGTCAGTGTGGTCTATATAGTGAGTTCTAGAACAGCCAAGGCTACATAGAGACGCCTATCTCAAAAAAAAAAAAAAAAAGAATGAAGCAGTTATGTCTCAAAATGACTTTTAATGGTGAGGAGGGGGATATAAGCTCATCACTGTCTACCACTACTTGATAAAACAGTCTTGTCCTCAAAGCAAAGCTCAAGGATACAATGCAGGAAATAAACAGACTGAAAAATCACTTTTATACAGTCTGCTGTATAAAACTATCTATACCCACATTCTATTACAGTTGGCCAGGAACATTTCGCAGGCAGGTAAGGAAAGGTGGAGAAGGGAGAAGAAACAATGCAGAGGAAAAATGACTTCTTTGCTCCTATCATGGTACTTCTGGGGTTTTCCTGTCACCACCTCTCTCATCACCATAGGAATACTGGTATGACAGACATAAGCTACCATGCCAGATTTTACCTGGGTTCTGGAGATTTGAACTCAGTTCTTCATACTTGCATGACAAGTACTTTACCTACTGAACCATCTCTGCAGCCTATGTTTATATATACATATTTCAATTATTTTAATTGAAGCACTTTATATATATACAAAGTGAAATGCTTCAATTAAAATGAACACATCTACCACCAAACATATTTATTACTGCGACCATAAAAATGACTTAGCAAATCTAAAATACACAATATCTTACTAAGTCACCACGTTGAACAATAGGCCACCCAAACTTTCTCCTCTTGTTCTAAGTGAACTTTATATCCTTTGACATGTCCTTATTTCTATCACCTGCCCCCCCACCCCACCCTCTGGCAACTATCCATCAATTATTCACTACTCCTGTGAGTTCCACAATTGGGAAATTCTACATATAAGTGCGATACAACAGATGTCATTTTTCTGTACTCAGCTTACTTCATTTAGCATAACGTCCTCCAGGTTCACCCATACTTAAGTAAATGGCCAACTTTCTTTCAATTGTAAGGCTACATAATACTCCATTGATGGATTCTTTGACTGAATTCACAGATGTGTTTAAAAACACAAACAGCATGAACACAGGGATGCCCTAACCTAAGAAAGCCATCATAACTTGACATCGATAGTGAGATAAAAGGGGTTCACAAGGCCCTACCCCTAGCTGAGGAATGACTGGTGGTTGACAGCTTTTGGGGAAAGTACAGTAAGTTTTGTCCAGGGGAATGACCCTAGTAGGTTAACTGTAATCAGGTGGATGGCTTCACACACATCCACCCATGTGTATTTTATGAGCACTAATTTTGGACTCTGGGTTTACACTAAAAAAAAAAAAGCAGGGGTGGGGAGAGACTGGAAAGATGGCTCAGAGGTTAAGAGCACTGACTGCTCTTCCAGAGGTCCCGAGTTCAATTCCCAGCACCCACATGGTGGCTCAACCACCCATAATGAGTTCTGGTGCCCTCTTCTGGCCTGTAAGAACACATGCAGGCAGAACACTGTACACATATAAATAAATAAATCTTTAACCAAAAAAAAAAAGGGGGGGGGACATGAAGTTGGGAGGAGATGAGTGCAGGTAGACATGACCAAAATACATTGTATACATGTATGAATTCCAGAAGTAATTTTAAATGGAAAAATTGTGGAACGGTAACCAGAGAGTAAATGGGGTTTAGTCCTGTAGGGGATTACCAGCTAAAGACTTGGCCTTTTCCCCTGTGTGACATCAGAAATCAGTGTGGTAATGCAATGCTTTGTGCAGAACAAGAAATGCATCAATTTAAAGGATGCAGCTTTAAAAACATTTTAGATTGGCCGGGCAGTGGTGGTGCATACCTTTAATCCCAGCACTCAGGAGGCAGAGGCAGGGAGATCTCTGTGAGCTCTACAGAGCAAGATCCAGGACAGGCACCAAAACTACACAGAGAAACCCAGTCTTGAAAAAGCAAAGAGAAAAAAAAAAATTTAGATGAAGAATTCAAGCCCCAAACAAGGACTTCTGATAAGTGATCTGAACAGAATGCATGTCATGAGGTTTTATACATTGGATCCCAGATGGCCACAGATGTGGACCTAAGTTTTCTAGTTACACAGACGTAAAAAGGGAAATGTGATTCCCCCAAAAGACTCATGGCATTTAAATCAAACCCAGCTAACTGCTCAGAAGGAACACTGGCCTTTTCCCTGACATGAACCTTTTACAGGAAGGAATCCATGTCATGAGTGGACTTTCTTTTCAGTGCTTACCCTAACATGAAATACAAGATTTGTAGAGACAGGTTCTTACTCTCACTGTGAGTACAGTTAAACCAAGCCATTTGTTTTCTACATTCACCATCACCCCGAAGCTGCTCACAAACAGTGTCCATATATTTATGATTTCAATGTGTTTATTTATTCTTTCCTTTCTTCTCTCCAATATCCTTCTCTTCCTTCACAGGGTCTCTAGCTCAGGCTGCCCATGAACTCCCTATGTAGCCAAGGATAATCTTGAACTAATCCTCATGCTTCTACCTCTAGAATGCTGGGATTAAAAGCATGTGCTACTACACCAGGTTTATGGGGGGGCTAGGCCTCAGGAATTCTAGACAAGTATTCTACCAACTGAGCTATATATATATTCCAGTCTTTCAAAAAAATTTGTTTTTCTTTTTGAAACAGGATCTCACTATGTAGCCAAGGCTGGCTTTGAACTTTAAGTGATCCTCCTGCCCCAAACTCAATCCTGAGTGCTTCTGTTATAGGGATCCACCATCATGCCCACCATGTTTCTTTCTTAGGGTTATTTACTGTTTGCCAGTTATATACATTACAGATATTATTCTTTGCTTTATTTTATTTTTTCATTTTGTCCATGATGGCACAACTAAAAGAAAAAGAAAAACTAAGAGAAAGATAATGTTATAGGGCACTTTCATATCTCACTCTCATTCTTCACTGAATTAAAAAAATAGCTAGGAAAGACACACTATTTCAATATGTTTATTCATTCAACAATCATGGAGGCCCTACAGCCAGTCCCAGCAGGGAAAATTAGTAACTAATCAAACACACACTAAAGGTAACAACAAAAGCCAACCTGATACAACTGACCTTCCAGGGGTCAGAGAAAAGCAAAAATCATAGCAAAGAAGTAAGTACACCAAAAGAACAAAATACAACTTTCAAAAGGAATTCCAAAAAGCAGGAAAAAAGGGAAATGTGTTTGGATGTGGATTCCCATCTGATGTTACATGTTCAGAGATAGGCCACATTGTAAAATGACTTTTAATCAAAGGCTTGAGAGATGAGGAAAATAGGCATGTGATAAAACACAGGAAAGAATGCCCCCAGAAAAAGAAGAGCAGAGTGCAAAAAGCTTCTACCCTAGAATCAGTAAGATGGTCACCACAAAGGAGAAGGAAGGGGAAAAGGAGCACTAAGGGAGCAGGTAAGAAAAGAAACTGGTACAGACTTACAGGCAAGAGTAAGGGGCACTGATTTACCCTGGTGTTTTTAAGCGGAGGCATTTGTTAGCTTTTCTTAAGACTCAATGTTTTTCTTAAAGTACTAGGGATTGAACCCAGACACACATGCATGCTAGCAGTGTTCTATCTGTGAGTTGTATCTGCAGCCCCAGACTACATATTTCATAGAATTACTCTGGCTGCTGGGTTATCAGTATGGACAAGAGGAGGACAAAGCAGGGAAAGAATCAGGAAACAATTCTCATAACCCAAAGAAATTGATGGTGGCGTGGGAAAGGATGGTAGCAGTGGAAGCAGTGAGGTCACTCATCAGACTCAACAACCATTTTGACAGGAGAACTCACAAGATTTATTGACAGATGAAAAACAAGGGGTGAAGAAAACAGCAAAGGGTCATTCTCAGTCTGTGCCATAATTAGGATAGTAGTTGCTGTTATCTGCCATGGAGAATACTGAATTTGAAGGTTTACAAAAGGTGTACAAGTTCAATTTGGAGCCTGGGTTGAGTCTTGTGCAGTTTTATCAATGAATCAGCAAAGAGTGGGGAGATGTATGTTAGTAAGCTTTCCACTGCTATGAAGAATGACTAAGGGGGGCATGGGGGATAAGTTGGGGGGAGCAGGAGGAGGGATGAGAGGGGGATCTGTAAATTGAATAAAAAATGTCTTAATAAAGAAAAAAAGGAAAGAAAAGATACACAGATAGTTTTGTCCGCACTGCTGTAAACTGAAGTAGTTGGCCATACGAGATAAACGAGATTACTGCACAGTCCCTCACTACTGACATCCAGAGTATCGTGCTTCTTAGCCACCATTCCTGTCAATTATGTCACAAAGCAGAGATCCATGTAGCCATTAGATCTCAGTAAGGACAATTATAACACCTGACAGTTGGTAGACTATAGACTGGTGGGAGCAACAAGAGCTATAGTTTGGGATACTAGCTTCCCCTCATGTTTTCCAGAATCTATGAAGTCACTCTTTTAGAAGCACTTTGGACAAAAGCTGGGGCTTTAAGGAGCGGCAATCTTACACCCCTATGCCACCCAGCCCACGACAAGATATCCTGTAGGTAGCCTACCTCCTCTAGGTGTACATGTAGTTTATCACTGACTTAAGTTCTGGAACATCAGTAGGGCCATGGAGATGCCTGGGCATTCTCTCCATCTAATCCAGTAGTCCTCCATGCTCCACCCGCCACAAATAAGGCATAATCGGTTTTTGCTTTGTCCTCATTTGTTGTATCTATAACAAATACACACCAAATACATACATTAGAAGACAAGTAGCTTCCTAGAAGCTGTCCTACATATCTTAGGAACCAGCAAATGTGCCCTTTAACATTAGTTCACTTTAACAACTGAGAACACACAGCATTCCAAATAGAAATTACTTGGATACCATCCCACACTCCATACACACATTTGGAGAGGCACACCAACCGCATTTTATCACTAGTTTGGTAAGATCATTCAGGCTCTTCATTTACAGCATGGTAATCCCAACATTTCCAAAACTTGTTTTAAGTTGTTTGAGGTGAGTGCTGGCCAATAAGCACACATCATCTCATTTAGGGAATGAATACTCAGACTGTTCCTTACCTCTTTTTTTTACCAGGGCCCTCCATTTCCCAAATGAAGCTTAGGAAGGATTTCTTCCTATTGGCCAAAATTGGAATCTTCTAGTTGCCCCCATTCTGGTTGATGCTTGTTGGTTCCTTCCTGTTTCCTTCTCCTGTATCCTAGATTCCTGTATCGTCTTTCTCTTCAAGCAGATATTTGGAAAAAAAAAAAAATAGACAGTGAGGATAACTAAGAATCCTATAGCCTGTCTGCTCTTAGAAGGCATGACTTTAAAGAGGCTAATCCTTCACTTCATTAATAACTATTCTCACCTAAGAAAACCAGGGTACAGCACAGCACACAGCCTATAGCACAGACCATAGACCAGCCTATGACTCAGACTTTGCATGTGATGTCTAAGTGTATCAAAGCTCCTGGAAAGTTCAGTTTTACTGGTTACTGAAGAGCGGGGGCACCAGTTATAGCAATCATTCTCAAATTCAATTACATATCAGAATTACCTGAAAAATGCATAAAACATAGATGGCTGGGCCCAAAACCCAGTTTCTGATTTATTGAGTCTACGTTTTGCTTTTCTAACATGTTCTCTTGTGATGCCTTTGTTGTTGGTCGGGGAACTATACTTGCAGAAACACTGGGTTAGAGATGAAGCTGGACTGTTGTTAAATTACTGCAATTATCTCAGCCTGAGTTTCTTATATTTAAGGAGTTCAGCTATCAATGTGTCCGGGTCACTGGAATGAGGAAATATGGAGGAAGCCCTTAGCATGAGTTAGCATTTGGTAAACCACAAATGGATGCAAGCAGTCAGTAATGACTATGGCTCAAAACATACTACAGCATGACATTTTATCTTCCTCTAACCTCCCTTTCGCAACTATAAAGGAATTTCTGTGCTCCAAACAATGTACCTAAATTATGCACCATCTACAGACAATCTTAAACCATAGTACTTAGAACAAAGAGGACAAATCACTCTATAGGCTGTATCTGGAAAAGAGGTGGGTGCTGACTGAAGAAATACTAGACAACAAGCCGCCATCCACCAGAATGGGACAAGAATCTGGCATTGTCTTGAACTAAAACAGCTGGATGCCCTTACTATTCCAGCTAAAGTCAAGTAGTGAGGCGTCTTTAAGCAGGAAATACAGACATCTTGCCAGGCTGTAGCTTACACTACAGCAATGTGCCAACCCACTTGCATTCTCAACCCTCCCCGCAACCGCCAGCTCATGTCTCCCTGCCTACTTAGCCATTTACCTTGCCTTAGTCTAGTTACACTTCTTTTGCCAGGATTGCAATTTTCTCAGATCATTCGGTCAAGTATCCGTGGACATTAGCTTGGACTGTGAAACCTTGAATCTTATGGCTTCTTTCTGGAAATCTTTTCATTTTTATTTCTCATCATTGTGCATCTCAAAAGCTAGAAAGGAAGAACCAGGCCAAGTATGATGATAATACATACCTGTAATCTCAGCACTTGAAGGATGGAAAATTCAGGGTTGAAGTCAGCCTAAGCTACTGGAGACCATATAAAAGGGATGGAGAGAGGGGACAGAGGGCAGGTGAACTGAGACTGGGAGAGGAGAGAGTAAAAAGGAGATGGGGAAAGAAGAGTGATAGAAATTCCCAACACGCCCTCACGCTGGGCTCACGCTGGGCCCACACTGGGCATGGTCGTGCACGCCTGGCAGGACACTTACTCACTTCCACCTAGTCATTTCCGGGTCAAACGTCCTGCGTGACCCATGACCCTGCATGTTGCGCATGCCCGGTGGGATACCTAGTCATGCGGGACACTTAGTCATTTCCGCCCAGTCATTTCCAATTCAAAAGTCAAGCATGACCCAGGACCCCGTGGCTTTTCGTAAAGCGCGCAGAGCGGCCATGTGATCTATGCGTATGTGTGGAATAGCCACATGGGCCTGTGTGCGCAGGCGCAGCTCAGCCTTTATAAGCTGGCGCCATGATTCCCTGGCCCCCTTCACACACGTGTCTTTCCACAGGCCGGTGCACATCTCTCTTTCTCCTCATCTTAATAAAACTCTTGTTAGTGGATTCTGTCATGTTTCGTGTCTTTTCCTTACAGGGTAAGAGCGCTGATAAAAACCAACAAAGAGGAAGGGGGATACTGAACAGGAAGGAACAAACAAGGATGAACCAGACTGGACTTAACTGGAAGGATTCTAGTTTTGCCCACTAACAATATGCCTGTGTTTATTTTACTCAACTTCCCATATTGTTGTTGTCATGGTTGCACCATGCTGAAAACACCAGTCATGATCACAATGCAGCAAGGCCCCATTCCAAACGCTTAACCAGAATTAAAACTCCATTGGCATTCCACTGATAGCACTGGAGGTCTGTCTGTGCCACACTCCTTCCTCACAGCAAAGTGAAGCCCACACACACACAGTCTGGAAGGGTAAGATCCCAGGACCCATGGGGAAAGGAGACAAGACAGGAAAGCAGAACACAAAAAGGAAGGGAATCAGACTTCCCCCACCCTCTGGCCTCTGGGGTTTAGTAGACGTCTTATTTGGGAGCATTAACCCAAGCGCTCAAAACCCTAGCATGCATTGTTACCCAAGCTCTAGTGCTAGCACTTTTTCATCCCATTGAACCCTTCTAGTAGTATTTCCTATTCTGATGCTAGTTTTCAAAGTCTGGAATGAAGCCGTATATTACACCATTCCTAATGTCTTCAATCATCATTTCTGGAGGAAGTAGGATCTGACCACTTAGTTCAAATGAAGATAGTTAGATCCACTTTATTTTGGGGGGCCTGTTTCATTTTCTATTACTTATGTTTATCTGAAATTAAGTCAATAATTTGTTTATTGTCTGTCTCCACATATTAGAATGAATGGTACCTGAGAAGCGAGTCGATGTGTCTCAGGTCTCCAGGGTCTGGCACATTATGGAGTCAGATGTTTCCTGAACGAAAGGACAGAAGGATGTCTAAACAGGGGTGTGGGTTTCGCCAGGAGAGTCCCAGCGCGAATCCCAGCGCCAAGGGGCTTTCCCTTCTCCCCACTCAACCCCAGCCCTGTCCAAAGAAACTTCCCGCCAAACATCTATCTATACAGCCCACTGCACATGTCCAAGTAATAAGGTCGGAAGACTAAGATCTCCTACCTCCTCGCGTTCATTTCTACCAGCAAAGGAAGCCACCTCGGTCCATTCCGGTGGGGTGGCGGCGTCAGAGGGGTTCTCGGCAGCACGAAAGGGTGAACTGAACTGCCTAAAGCTATATAAACAAATTCAAGCTTCCCATCGTCCTTGGCGTTCTGAACACCGGAACCGCAACTTAAAACCGCCGGGACTTCCTGTACTGTTGCTACGGCTTCCCGACTCTGATTTGAAGGAACTACATGTCAATCAACTCCGAATTCACTTCCGGGTCACCCTTGCGGGTTGGGTGGTGGGGCTTTCTGGTTAGTTGACTTTCGCCTCCCCTTTTCTTTTTGTCTCGCTCTGCGTCTTCCCTGGTCCATTCCAGTTCAAACAGCCAAAGTCGGGAGATAAAGAAAACATTCTTCTGGCCTTTGTTTTCGCCTGTGAAACGTTACCGCTTGGTGGCAGCATGATTTCACGAGAGCATGCAGTTCCGCTCTCCCTCCGCCCTTTGTGTTTAGAAAAAAAGGCACCTCAGTGAAAAACTGCTTCCTTAGAGAAAGACGACCTTCTCTGGCATTTTAATAGCCCCCAGGTTTTCCAAATTCTGAGCCAATCTGATGAATAGAAGAGTAGCTGGAAAAAAATGTTTTTAATGTGTTTTTTTTTATTATTAGTCTTGCTGTATATTTTCTCGGATATGCATTTTGATTTTTAAAAAACAGCTATATCGATATGTAAAATTAAGTTAAATTAAAAAAAAAAGCTATATCTCCCACAGAGCACATTTTCTTAATAGAAAATAAAGGCATAGTAGGTTAGTTTTGCTGCTATTAAAAAATCAGACTGGGTACTTTATAACCATTGGAAATTAATTTTCCCATATTAGAGGTTGGGAAATACAAGACAAAGGAACGAACTGGTTATGACCTCTCACTGCTTTCAAAATGTAACATTGTTGCTTGGTACTCGGGAGGAACTGTTTAATCACAAAATGGAAGAGGTGTCAAGAAATTCACTTCCCATTACATCTCTTTTTTATAAAAACACCTAATCTTGTTTATAAGGGTTCTCCATCAAAAACCTTCCAACCCCCAGGCCTCCAAGTACAACTGATTAAGTGATTAAATTCTGTGACCAAAGTATTAATACAGTTGCACCTAGCTGCCATATATTGAGCGGGCCTCCTAGGTTTGCTAATACTCAACACTGCATGAGTAGTTGCAGAATAACTACAAGGTGGGTAGATTTGTTCTCATTTTTAAAGTGTGTGTTATAGTCAGAAGCTCATTTTTTAGTAAAAGGGGGACCTGTAGGGTCCTGGCCCCTGTTTTGGATTGCTTGCTGACCTTGACCTTGATATCCTCCCTATGCTAATTCCCTCCCGGGTTCCACCCTCCTGAATGCTTAAGGGAAGTTCCTTGTCTGTGTATCCTGCATAATGGGCATTAACAGCTTAGATGCAAGATTGTAAAACATTGGTAGTGAACTTCTGCCCTCCAGGGTTCTCCCATTGTGCTGTAAGCCTTTATTTAAGACCTCTTCCCTCCTTAAATAAACAGCATTTGGCATTAAATAAAAAAATTTAAATGATTACAACAAAAACTGTCCCCATGAGATGCTAAGTAACCACCAGCTAAATAAACCACTTTAAACCAAAAAAAAATGTGTGTGTGTGTGTGTGTGTGTGTGTAATATACATATAATTATATATATATATACATACATGAGGACTGTTTAAAACTAGTAAATAGCATAATTAGGAATCTAATTCGAAGACTTAGTTTATCACGTGTTGGAATTATGAGTATTTGATGTTGTTTTCTGAGTTTTCCTTCTTGAAAAGCAATTATGTTCACTGGGTACAAAAAAGCAGTGGCTGGAGTTCTGGCTGGCCTGTTGGAATGAATTTTACCTCATGTTAGATTATTAAAAGGCATCTGTAGAGACAGAAGGCAGAAAGAATGAGAGGTCTAGCTCTGACCTTAGGTAGGACCATGTTTATTCACAGTGAGGGAGCATTTTGTCATCCACATGATCGATGGACAAAATGCCTACAGGGATTGTGGGACCCTTATAAGGTCAGAAATGTAGTTCACATGGGAAGCTCAGAAGTGTATTCTTTCAGCAGGAAACTATCACCTCACACATTGGAAAAACTGAAATAGTGCTTGATGGCAATGAGGCAGAATGGAGGTGGGATTCTGGACAACACAAAGGTGAGAGATACTTATGGAGACAACACATCAAATAACCAATGTCCTGGTTAGTTTTATGTAAACTTGACAAAAGCTACAGTCATCTGGGAAGGACTCTCAATGGAGAATATGCCTAAGTTTGACTTAGTGACAAGTCTGTAGGGCATTTTCTTGATTGATTGATGTGAGAGAGCCCAGCTCAGTAGGGGCAGTGACACCCCTAGGCATGTGATCCTGGGTGGCACAGGAAAGCAGATTGAGCAAGCTACAGGGAGCAAGCCAGTAAGCATGACTTGCTTTTGCTTCAGTTCCCGCCTCTAGGTTCTTGCCTTGAGTTCCTGCCCTAACTTCCTTCAGAAATGGACTGTGATGAATAAAACATAAAAGGAATAAATCCTTTCCTTTCCCAGTTGCTTTTGGTCATGTTTTTTTACCACATCAATAGGAACCCCAAGACAGCCAATAAATAAATTCAGAGGTTTTGAGAAATGCAATGAACAAACTTAACTGAATGCCTATAAATTGAACACTGAAACCAACAATCACATAATACTCATTATTTTCCAGCCATGGAACATGTATGATAATTAGATTATAGTACATGATACACAATCAAAAAGTGGGACTGGAGAGATATCTCAGTGGTTAAGAGTGATTGCTGGTCTTGTAGAAGACCTAAATTTGGGTTCCCAGAACTCACATCTGGCAGCTGACAACCGCCTAAAACTTCAGCTCCAAAGTATCTGATGCTTCTGGCCTCCATGGGCAACCACATGCACATGCAAACACACACACATACATACATATTTGTAGCAGGCTTTCTTGGACTGCCAGCCCCCAAATCATGCATGACACAGAAACATTATTAATTATGAATGCTCAGTCTTAACTTAGGCTTGTTTCTAGCTGGCTATTTTTTAACTTAAATTAACCCATTGCTATTAATCTATGTGCTGCCCTGAGGCTTGTTTAGCTCATCTATGTACTGTCCATCCGTCTTTCCTGCTTCCTCTGAGTCTGAGTTCTTCCATAGGAAAACATTCCCTTTTTCATTTTTCAAGGGCTGGGCAACCAAAACACCTTTGAAATGAAGAACTGACCAGAAAATAAGCACTGGTAGTTAATATCAGATTTCAACAACTGTTTGGTACTATTGGGTCATCATCTTTTAAGATTATATAGTAAATCTTATTTTAAGTATTTATCACACATGTTGCATCATTCTTTCTCATTCTCTCTTTCTGTTTCATTTCTATGTCCCTTTTTCTGTTTTATGTCTACACATACAGAAACATATTTAAATCTAGATTCTTCAGATGTGAAAAAATGTAGTATTTGTCTTTCTTTGTCTGGCTTATTTCCCTTAACATGGTGATTTCAATTTCCATCCATTTTCCTCATCACAAGATGAATCTTTCTAGATTTTGGACTTCTCTGAGTTTTCTGTTTCTTAGCATTTTTTTAAAAGTTTATTTAATTTATTTTTGGTTTCAGAAAGCATGTGTGGTGTGCAGAAAGGAATGTTACTGTTCTATTGTTGCCTGTATACTTTCCTATCGTTCTTAGGATTATAATTTTCATCTACAGCATTTTTTCCAATCTTACTGCCGAGATCCTGCTTTCCAGTTGTCAGTGGACACCAGTACAGTGCTGTTGTTCAGGCACTGAGCAGTAATTCATAACGTCTCCTGAAAGTCCATTGACCCTTTGTGAACTGCCATTTACATCTACTCCTCTTCAATGTTTGAACAGCTACTTTGAGTCTGAAACAATAGGCATAAATGAAAATAATTATTGTAATAGCTCTGTCTGGGCTAGTTTCCTTGCCTATGAGTGAGAATAAAACTCCAGGTGATAGTCTTGTCTCTTGCAGTTTTAGGTTAGAAGAAACACCCTTATCCAATATTGTTAAGATCTACTTACTGGTCAATGCAAATAACTGTCAGCAAATAGTTGAATAGTAAACAGTTACTTTACTTTAAAATATTAAAAATAAGTCTAATACACTATTCACATATTATATGTTTTAATTTAAAAAACTTAAAGCAACATAGCTACCTAAACCATCAAACAAAGCAAATTACATAAGTTGCTTCCTGAAATAAAAGGCCTGTTGAGTCTCTTGAGTTTACTTGTAATGTAGCAATTTAGCAATCAGCTTCAGTCTGCTCCTCCACATTACTCTTATCTATTGACCTCTACATTTGCCAACATTCAACATCCATACCCAGATCTCTGAGTAGCACATAAGACTCAAGTACTCAGTTCAGCTGTTCCTTGCAAACCCTCCATCTGCTTCTTAAATTGGTTCTTCTACTCCTGTGAAGGGCTACTCAACACTTATAAAGGCAGTTTTCTTAAGGTCACACTTAGTACCTCTTTCTCTCAGCTTTTCCCTGGTACTTTGTACAAGAGAACAAGTGGCACTTGGAGGCAACACCTCAGTTTTCTACTTCTGCTGCCTGTTTCTGTAGAGGTTGACCTACTTCCCTCCACCAATAGAGCCAATTTCTAAAAAAAGTACAGTCTCTCCAAACTGAAAATGATAATTTTAAAAGTCCCGGAGGCTCTGCAAATAAACAGAACATTTTAAAATATAATCCGTTAAGCACATGATTAAATGTACTTTCCAGGAACGTAACTGAAGGCAGGATTTCAAAGTGGTATTTACACACTCATGTTCACAGCATTATCATTCACAATTAGTTAAAAGGTGAAGGTAATCCAAGTGCTTCTCCATGGACAAATAAGACACACTGTTTACATACAGTAGAATATCATTTGGCTTTAAAGTAAAATGCAATCCTGTTAGTCATTAGATCAAGTGAAATAAGCCAGTCACAAAGCAGAAAAACTGCATGAGCCCACCCATATGGAGCATCTAACAGTCAAATTCAGAGAAACTGAATGGTGACTTCAGGAACTTGGAAGAAAGAGAAATGGGAATGTATCGTTTAGTAAGCATGGAGTTTTTAGTTTTGCAGCATAAAAAAATTGCTGGAGATGTGCTATAGAAAAACAATATATGTAATACTTTTGAATTGTTTACTCATAAATGGCTAAAACAATACAATTTTAAGTTATTTGTCCTTTACCACAATTCAGAGTTCCTAGACCATCTGATGGCTCTTCCTATTTGTAACTTGTCAGGACTTTCTATGGATACTGTCGTCTCTGTCTCCCCTGCCCTCTTTAACCCACTCCCACCTGACTTCAATTACCTCTCAGCATTTCTAGCTTCAGTATAATCAGGCTATTGGACTTTGTTCACCACTTATTTCTAGAAGTTTTCTGACCCCTTGGCTTCTGTAAGACTCTGCCTTATACTTTGCTGACGTCTCAGTGACCACTCTTTTTCTGTTTAGTCTTTGTTTTCTTGCCTATTCATAGATGCTCATGGCCTTGCCCTGTCTCTCTTGGTGCCTTTTACAATCTTACCATTTTCCATGTGAAGGCACAATTAATTAAACAGCGCCTGCTATCAAATTTATATCTCTGCTCAGGACTCTCTGCCTTGTTGACTCTATATGACTGCAATAAGCTATTTCAACTCAACTAGTCAAATGACACTCATCCTTCCTCCTGTCTTCTAACTCAGTAATATCCCCCTCTACATTTTGTTCTAAAGTCTGAGGTTCATATTAGGATCCTGATTCTCTTTTATTCTCCATATCAAATTGGTCCAGAACGTATTATTCATTCTCAAACTTTATCTCAACTATCAGTGTTTTCTGTTCCATCACCTATCACCTCCAAGCTGGTCTGCTTTTAATTTTGTCTTCAAGTTAACCTTACACATCTTTTTATTGTTTGGGGAGTCTCTTGAACTCCCCTGATCAACAACTTGAAGGGAGGCATCCCATGCCTGACACTGGGGTTTGGCTTTTGTGAAGTATTATCACCATACAGGATGTAACTTCATTTACATTTTCATTTAAATTACATGTGCACACACATACACTTAATGTTTCTCTGGCTTTTTCAACCATCTTTAATGTTCTTTCTCTTCCTTCCCTCTCCCTCTGGATTCCCCTCCTTCCCACCAGATGAAGTACCCTCATTTTTCCAATTTCCCAATTCATCCTACTCTCCTGTTTCTAGTTCCTTCTACCCCTGGTTTCTGTGGTATCTTCAGGTTATACACTCACATCTTAAGATTCAGAACTAGGACCCACAAATCAGAGAGAATATGTAGCATTTATCTTTCTGGATCTGGATTACCTCACTCAGTGGAATAGTTTCTAGTTCCATCCATTTACTTGCAAATTGATTTCATTTTGCTTTACAGTTGACATAGAATTCCATTGTGTATACGTACCACATTTTCATTATCCTTTCATCAGCTGAAGGACAACTAGGTTGTTTCTATTTCCTAGCTATTATGATGAATGTGATGAACGTGGCTGAGCAAATACCTGTAAAACAGAATATTGAGTCCCTTGGACATATACCAAGGAGTGGTATAGCTACATAATGTGGTAAGATTTCAGTACTATAGTAATACAACTACGACTGCTACAAATAATAATAATAATAATAACAGCACAATAATATAAAAAAAAACAGACTAGTAAATCAATAGAACAAAATAGAAGTCCCAAACATAAGTGCATGTAATTTTACAGCCATCTGATATTTGACAAAGATGCCAAAAATACACGCTGGAGCAGAGACGGCATCTTCAACAAGTGGTACTATGAGAACTGGATGTCTACATGGAGAAGACTGAAACTAGACCCATATGCATTACCCTGAACCCAAATCAACTTGAAATGGATGAAAGAGCTCAATGTAAAATATGAAATGCTGCAACTGCTAGAAGAAAACATTGGTGGTACCCAGAGATATAGGTGTAGGAAGCCTTTCTGACCAGGACTTCACTTCATTAGAAATTAAGGCGAACAATTTACAAATAAGACCTCATAAAACTAACATACTTCTTTACAGCAAAGAGAACAATACGCTAGCTGAAGAGGAAGCCCACAGAGTGGGAGAGAGTCTTTGGCAGCTATTCATTGATAGACTATACAGAATATATGAAGAAAAAAGAAAGAATCAAGAAAACCAATGATCCAGTTTAAAAGGGCCTATTGGAGGTGGGGGAGACAGACAGCTGTGGATCTCAATAGAAAATTCTCAAAATGAGATGAAAAATGGCTAAGAATTATCTTTAAAAGTGTTCGTCATCTTTAACAATTAGGGAAATGCCAATTAAAACAACTTTGAGATTCCATATTACTACAATCAGAATGGCTAAGATCAAGGAAACAACTGACAATAAATGCTGGTGAGGATGTGGGAATGGGAACTCTTGTTCATTGTTGATAGGAGTCCAAAGTGGTGCAGCCACTGTGGAAATGAGAGCGGCTATGTCTCAAAAAAAATCAAACAAACAAACAAAAAAAACCCGGTTAAAAAAAAATTCTCATCTCTTTAAAATTCACCACACAAAGATCCCGACTGCACTCCTCCAGCTAGATTGTTCTTTGCAAGGTCTTATGATGCTTTTTCACTAATACCTTTGCCCATGCTATTCCCTCTGCTTCAAATCTTTCTGGCCTGCTTGGCTAAGGTGCCCATCATGACTCAGCTCAGGTATGCTCCCACAGTATAGGATGAAGCTCACCTCGTTGTTACCTCACTCTAGCTAGTTCTTCCAAAGCAGGTAGCAAATTCTTCTCCTTTATCCCGAATTCCACCGTCCAGCCTCTAATATCATGCTTGTAAATGGTATTAGACAGAGAGAGAGAGAGAGAGAGAGAGAGAGAGAGAGAGAGAGAGAGAGAGAGAGAGAGAGAGAGAGAGAGAGAGAGAGAGATAGCAGGAATGGAGTGTGGATTGGACTCTGCTGAGAACACAGCACACGGGACTTAAAAACAGCATCACTTAAAACAATTTTTTTCATACAACATATTTTCCTTGTTGACTTACAGAATTCGTCTATCACCTAGGTTATAGGAATAGCGTTGCTAAGCAACAACATGCCACTTTGGCGCCTGCATGGCCCGGATGAGGCGGGGCCAGGGCTTCCTCTGCGGGGTGGGGGTGGGGGGGGGAGGGTGGTACGCGCAGGCGCCAACGGAGAAAACGGTCTCCGTTTCCGCCCTACTGTTCTCAATCAACTGTTAAAGCAGCAAGCGCAACAAGCCGCTTCCGGAAAGGTAAAGCCGCACTTACCCGGCTGTAATATGGATACCGCCTGCGAAAGCGTAGAGCAGGTAAGATGCTGCTCCAGGGCTTGGTAAATACCCAAGTAGAGATTGAGTGATGAGCGACCCAGGGAGTCGGGAATCGCTCACCCAGTCCCGCTTTTTCTTTTCCTTCTCAGGTTTCTGGCGAAGTGGTGTCCGTGGCCCATGCTCTTTCTCTCCCAGCCGAGTCATATGGCAACGACGTGAGTATGACTCACCTCCAGTTATCCCAGAATGTCTGAATGCCCCGGCACTAAATTATAAGTCCCTTTCCTGTTGTTTTCTTCAGACCTCCCCACTTCAACCAAAATTTGTACCTTCTTTCACATCATTCTAATCGTAGTTGACAAATGTAGTACTCTAATGCCTGTAAAAGAGATCCCCTAACTTTCCTATGATTTAGAAACACCTGGGAGGCGTCTAAACACCCCACATGTCCAAATTACAACCCATAACCGATCAAATCAGAATGTCTGGGGGAAGAGGAGCAAAAACCTAGTAGTTTCTAAAGGGCCTTATGGTCCCATTGTGCAGCAAAGTTCCACTGGTTTGTGGTGTGCTTCATTATACATGCTGTGTGTTGACAAATAAGAAAAAAAGACAGCAGGAATACTAATACCACCCAAATCAGAATGTAATGTGTACTGGAGTGGCTCAGGCAAGGATGGAGGCAGTAGATTTCATCAGGGAAGTGTAACTTGAACTGGACCCTCAAAGAGTAAGTAGACAGAAGATATGGATTCGAAAGTAGGAAAATTTCTTGGTCTACGGTGGGGAGGTGCATATGCAGATAGATTTTTCTGGCCTTATGAAGGAGACAACAGGCGGGTTGGAAAATGAGAGTCCAGTGGAACAGCTAGTGGGTACTTGGCCAGACTTATTTCTAATCTAGCTGCATCATTTGTTCTGGGGTTTTACAGTGTGGAAAATGACTATCGGATATACACAAATGAGTATAACATGCTACACTGATGAAAGGGAAAAATAGTTTCACATGTATTTTTGTCCTCCCAACAACTCTGAGGGGTATAGGTGGGTATATTAATGTAACTTTAATAGTTATTTAAGTCAGTCCTGATTTTCCACACTTTCACTAGCTGCTGGAAAAGGATGTCCAGTGGTCCATTATTTTTGTTATTCTGTGTTGACAGCTTCTATGGTCATTATAAGGGCAGAAGGTTTATTAGTTTTATCCCTTGACAGCAACATCATTTTCTTTAGACCTCTTGAGATTTAGCAGGGTGTCTTTAATTTACCCATTACAGAACTGAGAGATTTCTGAGCTGATGTTCTTCCTCTTTTGCAGCCTGATATTGAGATGGCTTGGGCCATTCGAGCAATGCAACATGCCGAAGTCTATTACAAAGTGAGTTGTCCTCATCATTAAGCAGAAGTCAATATGTAATTTTAGCGTATGATGCTATGCTAATCATAGTTCGCAGCAACTCAAACTGTTAAGTTTTGCAGATTGTTTTAACTGCCAAAGAAATCTTACCTCCAGAGAACAAGGGTAGAAATGAATTTGATGATGAGAAGTTCTGCTTGTCTGCCCCCCCCCCCCCCCGTTTTTTTTCTACCTGGAGGAAAGATGACTGGACCATACATAGCAGACACTTAAATGTCTGTTGAATGAATGAACACCCACAGAATGAGAACCAGGCAATATTAGGACTGAAGGGTTCATTCAATTGCCAAATTGGTAAAAGAGGAAAAAGGAGAGAGAGAGAGAGAGAGAGAGAGAGAGAGAGAGAGACTCTTATTACAGCTCTTAAAACTATTTTAATGACTTCATAAAAGACCTGGTCTATTACTGCCTAAAGTAATCTTCTGTCCTGAAAACCATAATCAGGGTTTCTTGATTGTGTGGCGCTGGAGGGGTAGAAGTGTGATTAGTGACTAGCATCTTTATGTTTGTTTTATTGTCTGGCAGTTGATTTCATCAGTTGATCCACAGTTCCTGAAACTCACCCAAGTAGATGACCAAATCTACTCTGAGTTCCGTGAAAATTTCGAGAAGCTCAGGGTAGATGTATTGGACCCAGAAGAACTCAAATCAGAATCAGCTAAAGAGGTAAGTATCATCTTAAAAAATATCTAACATCTGGCCAATGCTTTTGATTGTATGTATTTATATAAACTTCAAATTTGTTCAAGGGACTTACAATAAGGAGCCTGGATTTTATAATAATGAAGTCAATTATGGAATAAATTATTTTTTGTCTTACGTACTTTTTGTGTTTATTGAGAATATTTTTTTCCTTTCCTTATCTTGGGCACTTCACCTACCCCATTTACCTATTCCTTTTTTTTTTTTTTTTTTTTTGGTTTTTCGAGACAGGGTTTCTCTGTGTAGCTTTGTGCCTTTCCTGGAATTCACTTGGTAGTCCAGGCTGGCCTCGAACTCACAGAGATCCGCCTGGCTCTGCCTCCCGAGTGCTGGGATTAAAGGCGTGCGCCACCACCGCCCGGCCTCCTATTCCTTAAAGTGGGGAGGAGGGATGAGTTTATGTTAGCAGGAAACTTAGCTGGAAAGATTGGTTGATGGAATAGTTAATAGGATACAGAGAATATAAGGAGATATTTTGATTCTCTGAATTTTTGTTCTATTGATCATAGGTCCTAGATAGCATACAAATGGTGTTTCTTGCTTATGTGATCATCTCTTACTGACACAGAACACTGATATTATAGTAGGAAAAATATTTTCCTTAAAAGTGGGCTCTTGGCTAATGAAGAATTTAAACTTTAAAGTCCTAGCAGACTGTCACTGATCATTGAGAACTTGCCCCTAGTAGATGGACATGTATAACATATAGGTATATCCCTGTCCTCTTTGTCTCATTGGTACTTTGGTGAGGATGAATAACCATTTTGGCTTGAGCTGGCTGATAACAACTCAAAGCAAAACAGAGATCCATTTTAGAAATCACATTTTCATTTTTGTTTTGTTTTGTTTTGTTTTTTTTTTTTGTTTTTTTCGAGACAGGGTTTCTCTGTGTAGCTTTGCGCCTTTCCTGGGACTCACTTGGTAGCCCAGGCTGGCCTCGAACTCACAGAGATCCGCCTGGCTCTGCCTCTCGAGTGCTGGGATTAAAGGCGTGCGCCACCACCGCCCGGCTCATTTTGTAGTAAAAGGATTGAGGTGGTTGGTTTTGCTCTTTGTCTTTTCCTGATCAAAATGTTGTGTAGGGAACACCAGCCTACAAATATAACATATAGCACCAAAATGTGGTGCAATTTTCACCACAAAGCTGCCAGTCACCTCAATACTAGTTTTTTTCACTCTGGTTTTTAGTCTCCCTGGGGAAGCCCAAACCTTTCCTGGCTTGAGTACATTAGACTCTTGGATTCATCAGCTAAGGTGTCATTTTTTTTTTTTTTTTTTTTTTTGCCTTTATAGAAGTGGAGGCCATTCTGCTTAAAATTTGAAGGGATCGTAGAAGACTACAACTATGGTACTTTGCTACGACTGGATTGTTCCCAGGGTTACACTGAGGAGAACACCATCTTTGGTGAGTTTCTCGTCTCTGACATTGTTTCTGTAACAGGATCGGAATTGAGGAGTCTGGGTTCACTGATAAATTACTAACAAGTATAGTTACCTTGGAGATCATCTTATTTTCTCTATCTTTCAAGATCATGTTCCTTTCCTTAAATAACTGTCAGATAGGTACATATTTTCATTAACAGATTGGAATTCAAGATTTCTAGCTTATATATTTGAATGGCTTTCATGAGAGTTAAGATTTGTCTATGGGTTTCTAGTCAGTATACATGATTACCTAAGACGAGGACAATCAATTCTATTTACCTTTCAGCACCCAGGATTCAATTTTTTGCAATTGAAATTGCTCGGAACCGGGAAGGCTATAACAAAGCAGTTTCCATCAGTATTCAGGACAAAGAAGGAGAGAAAGGAGCTGACAATAAAGAAGAGGAAGCTGAGAAAGGAGCTGATAGTGGAGGAGAAAAAGAGGAAGGAGTCAACAGAGAAAAGTAAAAAACTAACCAGGGAGGAGAAAAAGAAAGCCAAGAAACATGTGACTCAGCTGAACCCACAAGTATCAGGTGCTACTTGCACTGACCCCTTTGATTACCCTTGTGCAAATGGAGGACTGAGAAGGACTTCTTTCTAGCTAGTGAGAGAAGTTGCTCTGGGTGTAATAGTTAAACACAATTAGCAGAGTCTCTTATTTAATTGTTGCTTGATACCCTGTTTCTTGGCTGTAACTGTTGCTGAAGTAAGACATTTTGTAAACAAATTCCTTTTGGTTTGTATTACTTACGACTGATTTTGGAGAGTATTTACATTTATGTGAAACTTCAAAAAAATTCAGGTATATAATCTCATCACCATGTCTCATATAATACTGTCTATTTGTTAATTCTTCTCACTGTTCTCAGTAATGAAATTCTCTTAATGTATTAGCCTGTACCTGGTATTGGCATTAGAAGTTCATATATAGGAACTGACTCTTAGCCAGGCGTAGTGGCTCGTACTTGTAATTCCATGGAAGGATGAAATAAGAGAATTGCATGACTTTGAGGCCAGCCTGAGTTATAGAGTGAGACTGTGTCTCAAAAATAAATTGTTTAAAAAAGAATTGGCTTTTGCCTTTGTGGTGACTATGGCTGTCTGGTTTCCTTTGCTGTGTTGGAAAGC